ACCCAATAACGACCGTCAAATATGGACGCAGTTGATCGTCTGTCAATGCGGCCATGATCACAACGCATCCCCTTGGCCTCCCACGCATCCCTCTCGTGCCTGCCGTGACTGCAGTGCTGCCCGCACCAGATCGTCGTCTACGAAGTCCAATGTCGCCACCGTGCGCGCCTCCTCCGACTCAGGCACGTGCCGTCTCACAATATTCAACACCATTTAACACCAGCACACATGGTCGTACCTCTAAACCCAGGCAGTCCACACCACATCATTCAGGCTGACTTCAATCCGTCGTTTGCAGACGGCGAACGACCGCATAGTTCGATTATCTTGACGCCCGTTGACTTTCTACAAGAATGCCGCTCGTCCTTATCCTCAATGACCCGCTTACCCGGCTGTTGACCATTCGTGAAAAAACGGCTGTTGAATGTCGATGTCTTTCGCCGTGCACCCCTACCTGTGTGCGACGTCGCAGAGTATCGCACGGGCGTGAAGCGCAACCACAACATCGGCAAGCTACAGGCGGGCTACCTCTTCCCCGAGGTGCGCTGCCCGCTCTCCCACCAAACCCTTCCGTTTCACCAATGCACGATATCGATTCACCTCGTTGGCCAGCTTAATCGCAACCGCATTCCTCTTACGTTACTCCTCCCCAACCCCGCGACGCCCCCCACCCGTCTTCCCCGCCTTCTTTCCCCGCAGATCGCGCGGCGGCGGCGCGCGCACCTGGAAAAGCACCCCGAGGCGAAGATCATCAGCCTGGGCATCGGCGACACCACGGAGCCCATCCCTGACGTCATCACCGCCGCCATGGCCAAGGTGAGCCCGTTGCGTGGGTGGAGAAAAGTGGGAAGTTGTTGGGTGGGGGTGGTAACAGGGTGATGGGAGTCAGTGCGAGTAGTGGTGGCGGATGTGCCTCACGGGGATGGATATGCACAGTGCTGGAAAATACGCCGGCAACGCACGATGTATGCAAGAGAAGTTTTCATAACGAAGTGAGTATAAGTACGCAAAGAGAGCACAGCCCGTTGGCGACAAATAAGAACTTAGCAGCAAAGGTGAACGGCCAGAATGTTCTCAACCACTCGTCGCCCATCCCTACTGACACCCTTCCCCTCTCCGCCCCCCCCTTCATCTCCCGCTGTCCCGCGCAGAGGGCGCAAGGGTTGTCAACGCCAGCGGGGTACTCCGGCTATGGCGCCGAGCAGGGCGAACAGGTGCGTGGGCGGAGAGGAGGTTGGGGGCAGCACATACGTGAAGGGGAGGGGGATGAGGGAGGGGAGGGAAGAGGGGAATGACACATGAGGAGTGGGTTGTGAGTGCACTGAGCTGTGCCTCTGCACCATCCCGAAATGATGGCATTGTTTCCGCACTGCCACCGCTTCCCATTCCACACCACCCCATGCCGCGCATGCTCACTCTACCCCTGGCGTCGTGTGCTCCACTGACTCCGCGCACCCCCCACCAGGCCCTGCGCGCGGCGATCTGTGCGACGTGGTACAGCAAGCTGGGCATCACGGAGGACGAGGTGTTCGTGTCCGACGGTGCCAAGTGCGACATTGCGCGCCTGCAGGTGGGTGCTTGAGACTGCAGGTGGGTGCTTGACACTGTAGGCCCTGAGCACGGCCATCTGTGCAAGCTGGGCATCACGGAGGACGAGGTGTTCGTGTCCGACGGTGCCAAGTGCGACATTGCGCGCCTGCAGGTGGGTGCTTGAGACTGCAGGTGGGTGCTTGACACTGTAGGCCCTGAGCACGGCCATCTGTGCAAGCTGGGCATCACGGAGGACGAGGTGTTCGTGTCCGACGGTGCCAAGTGCGACATTGCGCGCCTGCAGGTGGGTGCTTGAGAATGCTCAGTGATTTCTTACGAGACAAAGCCAATCCCTCATGCCGCCATGCCCCCGTATGTGTTTCTCTGGTTCTTGTATGGACGTGCTTCACCGGGTCGTTTCCACTGTCTCACCGTCTTCTCAACTCCCCCATCCATTCCCCATCGCTCAACCAGATGATGTTTGGCGCTGACGTCACCATGGCCTGCCAAGATCCCTCCTATCCGGTATGGCCCATCTCCGCTCCCCCATCCTCCCCCCCCATCTTCGCTCCCCCATCCTCCCCCCCCATCTCCGCTCCCCCATCCTCCCCCCCCATCTTCGCTCCCCCATCCTCCCCCCCCATCTCCGCTCCCCCATCCTCCCCCCCCATCTCCGCTCCCCCATCCTCCCCCCCCATATCCGCTCCCCCATCCTCCCCCCCCATCTCCGCTCCCCCATCCTCCCCCCCCATCTCCGCTCCCCGATCCTTCCTCCCCATCCCCGCTCCCCCATCCTCGCTCCCCCATCCTCGCTCCTCCATCCTCGCTCCCCCATCCTCGCTCCCTCATGCTTGCTCCCCCATCCCCTCTCCCCATCCCTTTTCCCCCATCCTCTCTCCCCATCCTTAATCCCCCCTCTTAGCCCTCCCTATTTTCACTGGCCATGCTGTTCAATATGGCAATGACAATCCTTGCCAATCACATGCATCCCTCTGGCTCGTGGGTGGGGCACCACACGACATGGCATGGCATGGCATGGCATGGCATATCATGACACGGCATGACTATGGCATGGCAGGCATACGTGTGATGATGGGTCAGACGGGGCTGTACGTGCCAGAGACGCAACAGTTCGTTAACATCTCACCTACCTGCGCTGCTCACCTATGAACCACTTTTGCTTTCTTGACATTTCCCACTCCCCCGCCCTGTCTCCCATCAGGCGTACGTGGACACGAGTGTGATGATGGGGCAGACGGGGCTGTACGCCCCAGAGACACAGCAGTTCGATAGCATCACCTACCTGCGCTGCTCACCCGAGAACGACTTACGTTTCCTTGACATTTCCCCAACTCACCCCCCTGGCTCCCATCAGGCATACGTGGACACGAGTGTGATGATGGGGCAGACGGGGCTGTACGCCCCGGACACGCAGCAGTTTGGCAACGTGACGTACCTGCGCTGCTCCCCCGAGAACGACTTCTTCCCAGACCTCGCCTCCGCGCCGCGCACCGACATCATCTTCTTCTGCTCGCCCAACAACCCCACCGGTGAGCCACAGCAGGATTTCTTGAAGCTCCACAACCCCACCCACCGTTCAGCCCACATCTCTCCTCCTGTCCCACCTTATCCCGTCTCTTATCCAGCAACGCCCACTCAACGCCCTTCCTCTCATCCCTCCCCTCCCTCCCCTCCCCTCCCCTCCCCTCCCTCCCTCCCTTGCACCATGCAGGGCGGGCGGCGTCACGGCAGCAGCTGCAGCAGCTGGTGGACTTCGCGCGTGCCAACGGGTCCATCATTGTGTATGACTGTGCCTACGCCATCTACATCGAGGATGACTCGCCCAAGTCCATTTACGAGATCCCTGGCGCTGATGAGGTGGGACCATGCGGGCATGAATGGTCTGAGAGTGCTAGTTCTGTAGTTGTGACTTTTGACCAGCGCTACGTCTCTTTGCTCCCCTTCTTCAACCCTTCCATATCGCCAACCTCAACCCCTCCCCCCATCCCCCATCCACAGGTGGCCATTGAAACGGGTTCTTTCTCAAAATACGCTGGTTTCACCGGGGTGCGTCTGGGCTGGTCCGTGGTGCCAGCAGCGCTGCACTATGCCTCCTCGTTGTCCCTCTCCGTTCCCTCGACACCTCCCCCCCCTCCCTTTTCCCCCTCCCCCCCCATCCACAGGTGGCCATTGAAACGGGTTCTTTCTCAAAATACGCTGGTTTCACCGGGGTGCGTCTGGGCTGGTCCGTGGTGCCAGCAGCGCTGCACTATGCCTCCTCGTTGTCCCTCTCCGCTCCCTCGACACCTCCCCCCCCCCCTTTTTCCCCCTCCCCCCCCATACCCAGGTGGCCATTGAAACGGGCTCTTTCTCCAAGTACGCGGGTTTCACCGGTGTGCGTCTGGGCTCGTCCGTGGTCCCAGCAGCGCTGCGCTACACAGACGGTCATCCAGCGCGCGCGGACTTCAACTGTCCCCCTCTTCTCCACCCAACCCCTCCCTCCTCTCCAGGTGGCCATTGAAACGGGCTCTTTCTCCAAGTACGCTGGCTTCACCGGCGTGCGTCTCGGCTGGTCCGTGGTCCCAGCAGCGCTGCGCTACACGGACGGCCATCCGGTGCGGGCGGATTTCAACCGTGTCACCTGCACGTGCTTCAACGGCGCCAGTAACGTCTCCCAGGCAGGAGGCCTTGCGTGCCTCTCTCCTGAGGGCCTCGAGGCCATGGCAATGCTGGTGTCGTTTTACAAGGCCAATGCAGCCATTCTCAAGGCCACATTTGAATCCCTGGGCTATGAGACGCACGGGGGGGACAATGCGCCGTACGTGTGGGTGCGCTTCCTGGGCGCTCCTCCTGGGACGTGTTTGCTGAGATTCTGGAGAAGGCTGATATTGTCACCACGCCTGGGAGCGGGTTTGGGCCCGGTGGGGAGGGGTTCGTGCGTGCGAGTGCGTTTGGGAGCCGTGCGAACATTGAGGAGGCGGCGCGGCGGATCATGAAGCTGTACTCGTTGTGAGTGCGGAGGGGTTATTAGGGCCGCGGCATAGAGGGGCGTGTGGTTGTGGAGTGGTGGCAGGGAGTGATGTGGGTAGGGAAACCTGTCGGATCGATGTTTGTGCAAGTCCCAGTTGAAATAACTAGGATCCTATGAGCATATGAGCAATATGACCACAGATCCTTCTCTCCTGTCATGCAAGCAATAAACACACAGACACAGCCACTTGGGTGGGAAAACACATGGCAAGAGCAGCAGCTCTCCCAACATTCTGCAGCACTCACCTGAAAACTGCAGAGTTCCCTCCCGCTACTGCGTGAGACACATCAGTGCAGCACCATGCACACAGAGGCAACAAGAGTCAGGACCTCACAGTGCTCTGGTCAGGTCTGGTTTGCAGAGGAAGCGAAAAAAACTCCAGCCGGTGAAAAAAAAAAAACAAGAAACGAATTATATGAAGCACAACAGCAAGACATGCTTAGACGAATTCAACAGGTTTGAGTGCATTTCGCCTAGCAGGTTTCTCAATAACGCAGTTCAAGTAGAGCTGGTGTGCCTCTATCTCCCCACGGTCGGGCTTGGGCATGAGCGTCCAGTGCAGGCGGCGGTAGCGCAGCTGCTGCAGCACGGCCACATACAGCACCATGTCATCGACGGGCGCGTAGAACATCTCAAACCACATGAGGCCGCCTGGGTGGGGGACAGGAGTGGAGTAGGGTGGGGTGGGTGGAGTGGGACATGAGCGTCCAGTGCAGGCGGCGGTATCTCAGCTGCTGCAGCCCGGCCACATAGAGCACCATGTCATCCACTGGCGCGTAGAACATCTCAAACCACATGAGGCCACCTGGGGGAGAGGAGGGGGTGGGGGGTGGGGAGGGGTGAAGTGGGGTTGAGCATTGTTGCAGCACGGCCACGTACAGCACCATGTCATCGACAGGTGTGTAGAACATCTCAAACCACATGAGGTCGCCTGGGGGAAGAGGAGGGGAGTGGGGAGGGGTGGAGTAGGGTGGGTTGGGGTAAGGCTAACTTCCTTTTGCAGCACGGCCACATACAGCACCATGTCGTCCACTGGCGCGTAGAACACCTCAAACCACATGAGGCCGCCTGGGGCAGGAGCGGGTAGGGGGGGGCAGGGGCGGGGATGGGATGGGTGGGATGGGACGGGATGGGGTGAGTTCTTTTTTTAGGCAGCACGTGTCACAATAAGGGTTGAATTGATAGATTAGGGAATAGGATAAATGGCCTTAAGTAGCACAAACTAGGAGAAAGGAAATCCTAGGGAATCCTAGGAGGATCCAACCAATCCGACCAACAAACCAAAGATGGATGAGCTTTTGGATGGAGGGGGGTTAGATAGGTTGGGAAAGAGAAATTCTACACCCAACCCACCAAAAAGCTAAACTTACTAAATATTAAACCCTAAAACTTTTCAAGGCTAACACACAAAGTGCAGCCTATTTCCAACAGGGGGAAGAACGCAGCTAGAGATGGGGGGGAAGAACGCAGCTGGGTGGGGAAGAACGCAGCTGGGTGGGGGAAGAAGGCAGCTGGGTGGGGAAGAACGCAGCTGGGTGGGGGAAGAACGCAGCTGGGTGGGGGAAGAACGCAGCTAGGCGGGGGGAAGACCGCAGTTGGGTGGGGGAAGAACGCAGCTGGGTGGGGAAGAACGCAGCTGGGTGGGGGAAGAACGCAGCTGGGTGGGGAAGAACGCAGCTGGGTGGGGGAAGAATGCAGCTGGGTGGGGGAAGAACGCAGCTAGGTGGGGGAAGAACGCAACTGGTGGGGGAAGAACGCAACTGGGGGGGGACGAACGCAGCTGGGTGGGGGAGAACGCAGCTGGGTGGGGGACGAACGCAGCTGGGTGGGGGACG